TTGTCGAATATACGTATCAGCTACGTGCAGCACTTTAGACAATATCGTACCGAATGAAATGAACTACTACGAGAATTATAATTTGTCGAGGTTCGTGCAACAAAGTCCGATGTAATAAATAATCGATTTTACATTTTGCCACGTTACTTCGCGCAGTTACTTCCCTCATTCCGTTACTCCCAGAGTGCAGTGATTTTTCGCTAGTAGAGAGTCTAAAGGATCGGTACCTCTCTTGTGAGAAAATATTCTAAACGCGCCTACTCTCGAGTAACACTCGATGATTACGAAAGATATAGATCGGTATATAGATTCTCGAGCGCTGCTGTTAGTGCATAGCGTACTTGTACTTACGGGCGGCTGAAATGGAAAATTCGAAAGAAAAGGAAAATTCGGAGATCGGCAGAGATTTTGTTCTGACAATCGTAGATGGCATGCGTAAAGAGATTCACAATCGAGCGCATAGGGAGCCGGATATTATATTTCTGCGACTTGTACTATTCGCTTCCTGTGACAGACAAGTTGTGAACCTGTGAAACTTTCATCATTAAACACGAATTCATTAGATAACAAACACGTGGAAATTATTTATAATCGATACGACACGAATCAATAGCGTATGATACGTAAAGAAAAGCGGTTGCATAGTTGGCTGATTGAGTGAAAATGCGTATTATATATTATATATATATTATGTATCGTCAAATGTATAGCGATGTTGTTACTTTTTTTATATGTGTCTAGTATATTATATCCCTTGTTTTGGGCATGATGTAATATTGAGAGATATACGATTGGTACTTGTATCTATGTGAACCGCTAAAATAGTATGATCATGTATGCCCCCGCACGCAGGCACACGTATTCTCATGAATTCTCATTTGTTGCGCAGAATCTGACTTTTTGCAACTTAGCGAGCCATACTACATGGACATGACAACGCATCTCCCCGAGAGTCAGCAAAGGTAAATATATTATTAGAGTGGCAGAATCATTTCACTCGTGAAAGGCACAGTGTTATTATCTTGTCAAACGTGAAAGAATTTTCCAAGTTCTCTGCCATTGACTTTTAGTGACTTGACCAACGAATTAGCAAACAACACCAGCTTTTTACAGATAATTTCACTTGGTCGACTTGGAAAATTCTGACTCGATTGTACGCAGCACGTGTAATTACTTTCCTTTCTTCCATTCTCGACGTTGCGTTCGTGATTAACGATTGGGGACGTTTACTCGTTTGCAGAATAACCAGAACCGTGGAGGTAATTACAACGACCACCGTGACCACAAGTCGAGATGAATTGCGAGACGTGTGCAAGTTCGTCGACAAAAGGCAAGAACAGTGAAGCATCAAGGGTCTCATCAAGGGCGATCGTAGGAAGAAAAGGGAGTTCTTCGTCGTCTGCTAATCGTGCA